TCAAGCCACCTCGTAGTTCATGTTAAATATTCTTAGCTAATTCTTCTCGGGAAGCATGTTGTGTTGCCTCGTCACTTTGCCTTCCTCTTTTAACTGCGTCCCTAGTTCAGACAGTTAATCGGGCTAGTCTTTTTTGTCTTCCCGTTTGAGATCTCCGAGGCTAATAGTGCATCAAGCTCTCCGCCATTAGCTTTGCTGTGAGTTTTGCACCAATATTCTGACAATTTGTTGAGTGGCCGTAGTAAAGATGGTATTCGCAGTAGGCTTCTTCTCGTAAGTATTCCACGAATCGTTGTCATGTTCTGATCCTACTTGATAGTTATAAGCGCCTTCAAAGATAGGTCCAACTCGGCCCGCCGCGCACGTGCCGCTATTCTCTATGTCCCCGCGGCATGTTGTTCCTTCCAGAGGAGGTGTTCTTCTTCTTCGGCGAGCTCTTCAGCGAGTCGATCGTCCTCATCGAGGTCGGCTACTGTTCGAGCAGTCAGGGGTCGTCCCGTGGCTAACTGTCCATATTCTCTTGGCGCATCAGGTTTTTCTTCTATATCATCTTCTATATCGACTACTTGCACCGATTCGTCCATAGATGGTGCGCCTTTGTTTATATCTCGTCTGCCGCTCCTTGGGGTAGGGTCGGCATTCAGATCGAGCGGATGAAGCCGGCGAATCTTTTGCACTTTGGAGGGTGTCGAGAAGTTTAGAGTTCTTGGGGCGATGCGATTCCCGGCTCACCGTGTGAGTGTTGCGCCTCTCCCGCGACTCGTTGTGGCGAGAGAGTCCAGTCGGTTTGTCAGCGTGTTGTTGAACATATCCTGTTCCTTCAATTTTTTAAAGATTTCTTCGAACATGCCTTTTATCTAAGCCAAAGTTTCAGGATTTGCCTCCGCGGTGGCCGGGGTTTGCTTCTCAGTGGATCCGTCCCACGTAGTGTTCTTCTCTCCAGATCCCTCTGCCATAGCATTTTTCGCTGCGGATCCGTCTGCGGCGAGTTCTTTTGGGTCGTTGTCGTTGTGATCTCCATTGATGGTTATCTTCTTAGGATCTTACGTGGTGGTTCTTAGTGTAAAAAGCTTTATGTTCTCCTTAGACGGCGCCAAATTCTGGGTGTCGAATCTCACAATTAGATTTGTCTTCGTAACTTTTCTAGGGTTTGAAAATTTCTGCGGAAAGACTAAGCCTAAAACAATAAGGAAAACTTTATTTTTCTTCGGAATTTCTATTTATCCGCAGTGGGCTTTCTAGAAACTTCCCTTTCTTCGCGGAGAGCCCTTATTCGATTAGTCACGGAGTTGGCTAGCTCCCGGACCTGCTCCATATCGACTCACTTTGATAAAGGCCCAACGGTCGGTCGCTTAAACATCGGCTCGCCGATTTAATGTCAAACCATTGCTTAGTCATTTAATGTCAAACATCGGCTCGCCGGACCTGTCCGCCATTTAACTCAACGCTTTGTCATTTTCAGGATTGTTGATTTCGTTGGGAAGAATTTGACTCCAACATTTTATTAAGACTTTTGTTTTGAAAAAAAGATTATGATATTTTGAATTTTTTTTGTTTAAAACACATTTCCGTGAAGATCCGAATATCCGCAAATATCCGGATTTGGGGGATATCCAAAATTTTCTGAAGTAAAGTAAATCGAAAAATTAGATATCCGTAGAAAACAAATCGAAATACAAATACTGTATTTTTCTGGATATCCGATCCGCGCCCAGCATTCCATATTATTTCTATTTTTATATTGTAACGTCCCGACCGTCGTCGAGCTATCGGTATGCAGGAGAAATCCTCATCCCCTCGAGAGAGATCCTCATCTCTCAATAACATACCAGAAAAGTCTTCATCTCTTAGGAGAAAT